AACAGGAGGGCACTCTTTCTTCTTTAGAACTATAAGCCAAGTCCTTGCACAAGTAAATGCCTTGTAGTGGTAATTTGATAAATCTGAGTCCTTTCACTAGGAATTAAATAGACTAAGCTCTTCAGGACCCCAGACACAATGTCCGCTTTGAACACAGCTGACTCTATAACACCAGAGGGGTGGCAACAGCACACAGTCTCTAGCATCTCTCACACCAGTCTGTACTCATTAATGTCCTTAGATGATTGGTTGCCTCCCTCCAATATCTTCCAGACCCGTTCTTCCAGTGATACCAGACTAGATACTCAGACCCCTCAATCAGTTTCAGCAACTTTCAGCAAAGTATACCCAGTAGCCCAGGTGGGACCTCAACAAACAGCAGACACATAGCAGGCTTGCCCAGGGGGCAAACAGCCCCCCTAGATTGTGATCTCCTCCTCAAGACACTTCTATGTCTCATACTATTTATATACCTTCCCAGCAACCATGATTACAGTGAACCCATAACTAAATGTACCTAACCTAGCACCTATCTAGTTTGTATATATATATATATATATATATATATATATATATATATATATATATATATACAAATGCTCCCTATCACACCAGAACCCCATTTCATATCAGAGCCCCTCCTCCCTGCACATCATAGGCCTCCCTTCACATCAAAGCCCCCTTTCACATCAGAGACCTCCTTTCCCATCATTCCCATCAGAGCTCCTCCTTTCACATCAGAGATCCCATTTTCATATCAGAGTTCTCAGTCCCCTTATCCTGCCTTACAATCTTCACCACACCAACAGCATGGCACAGGATGGGAGGCAGAGCATGTCTGGATAGATGGCAGGAGGAAGAAGAGGTCCTCTTCTGAATGCTGCGATGGCCCTAGATCAGTGTTATGTGTTTCTGTGGTGTGGTTAGGCTGGATGCCAACACCATCGCAATTAATGGTACAGCGTGCCCTGGCTACTAAGCATCATTGGTTGTTATGGTGCTGGTGCCCAGCTCTCCTGCACCATAGAAACACATAGCACAAATACCAGGCCAGGTTGCTGCTACCTGGGTAAAATCTTGTAGCGGGACAGATGTGGTCCTCGGGTTGACATTTGAAGACCCCTGATGTAAATTATGGATTATTAGGCCTTTTTCTTACAGTTTTAGAGCCTGTGCCTTTGAGCTTGTGTCAATGGCATCCTTTTTACATTAATTTGAGACATGTCTTAAATCATTCAGGATTCATTGGGCGATGCATATGACCTGAAGTTGATATAATCTAACTTGCTTCAAGCAGGTTTTGTATTTCTATAGACTTACATGGGAATGCAAAACCAACATGAAGTGAACAAAGCCTATCATACCAGGCCCTTATGGCTTTATCATGGCCTTGATGCCAAACCACACTTCCTTAGGCTACCAATGATCTAATTTGTTAAACAGTGTAGTATGAGATGCTATAATAAAGAGCACAACCAGATCTAAATCCAGATGGCTGAAGCCTAAAAACTTTATATTCTCCCAGTGACCATGTATTGTTTGTGGAAATGGCAGGTGTTGATCTAATACCTGTGCTGCAGACACTTACCAATAAAGCGCTCAATATGTCTCGATGTCCTCAGCCAGCAGGCTTGGCAGAAATCCCCATCTGATCTCCAGACAGAACATTAGATGATCAATTAATCTTGATTGTTTTGGGACAGTGACAGAGATTGTGACAATGATGGATAACTAAGTGCTCCATGTTCTGCCGCTCTGCATTCAGCATTTGCTATAAAATCAATGAAGGAAAGCAGGTTCTAGGAAGAGACAGGATCACTGGTTCCAGACAGTATGAAGTTACCGTGTGTTTGTTGACTTCATTTGGGTTTGTTTACAAGGATGGCACAAGAATTGTCAGCTTGGTAATGGACGCTACATCACTCTTTTTCGAATATGAAGTATGCTGCGAACTCTGGCTACATGCTGATTTTAAAAATAGGAACACCTTTGTCAGGGCTCACAGACCGGCATCTTAGCACTGTTTTAGGATTTTTCTGACAATACTTAAAGCCCAGTTAGATATTGATAAGATACAACGTGTCCAGAGACAGGCAACAAAAATGGTGAAAGGTCTGAGGGATAAAACATATCAGGAGAGACATTAGGAATGTAATATGTACAGCCTGGAGAAAAAAGGAAAGGGAGAGACATCACTGAAACCTTTAAATACATCAAAGGGGTAAATATGGTTCAGGAGTATTTTCAATATAAAGTTAAGATCAAGCACATGGGGACATGACCTAAAACTTGCAGAAGGAAAGTTCAAATCTAATCTTAGAAAGTATTACTTTACCAAAACAGTAGGTGATGCTTGGAATAGACTTCCAGCAGAGGCAGTGAGTCAGTCAAGATTAACTGGATTCAGACATGCTTGGAACAACATAGATATATATGTAGACAAAAAAAGTCAAATAAATATATACACAGTGAAGGAAATAAGTATTTGATCCCCTGCTGATTTTGAATGTTTGCCCACTCACAAAGAAATGATCAGTCTAAAAATCGAATGGTAGGAGTATTGTCACACTGAGAGACAGAATAGCAACAAAAAATTCAAAAGAAATGCATGTCTAACAAATTATGCACTGATTTGCATGTTCATGAGGGAAATAAGTATTTGATCCCCTATCATTCAGCAGGATTTCTGGCTACCAGGTGTCTTTTATACAGTTAACAAGCTGAGATTAGAAGCAATCTCTTAAAGGGAGTACTGCTAATCTCATTTTGTTACCTGTATAAAAGACATCTGTCCACAGGAGCAATCAAACAATCAGATATCAAACTCTCCACCATGGCAAAGATTAAAGAGCTGTCCAAGGATGTCAGGGACAAGATTGTAGACCTACACAAGGCTGTGTCATTTAGTAAGCAGCCCAATCAGAGTAGAAAAGCCTGTCTCCTCCCAGCATGCTGTAGAGAAGTACCTTTGCTCACTGTGTGGAAGCAGTGGTCTCTCTGCAGTGGTCCGACACACCCCCTACTGAATCAGACCCATAAGCTTGCAATCTGCAAAGGTCATGCTTCTTGCTGATTGGACAGTTTTAACTCACTCACTTGCAGTAGATGTGTTTGACCTCTGCAAAGTGACCACTGTTTCCGCACAAAGGACATGCGGACAAAAAGACAAACTTTTCTACTCTGACTATAGCTGCTCTCTAAGGGAAACAGAGTGGGAGGCTATTTAACACCTTTTTTTTAATGTTCTGTGAATGTATTTAGCAGTTTTGGCCTTTAGAGTGTAAGAACAGACAAACTTTAAAGTTTGGATCCAAAAGAGTAAGTATTCATCCTGGACCAGTTGATGAGATATGTAGAAAGAATTTACATTGAGAGCTTTATCCACCCCTCTCCTCATCTTCATAACAAAAGTCTGTAATCCAACAGGGTAAAACTGAGGCAGGGCTGACAGCACTGTTTGATATTCAGGAGTTGTCATCTGACAAATGGTCGTAAGGCGCTCAATGGATTTTTGACAAATCAACTTTTCTGAACACACAGCATTTATTAATAGACAAATCATGGGGAGATTATTATTATTATTATAATACAGGATTTATATAGCGCCAACAGTTTGCTCAGCGCTTTACAATATAACAGGAGACAATACAGCAACAATACAGTTCAATACAAGAGGGTTAGGAGGGCCCTGCTCCTTGGAGCTTACAATCTAAGAGGGAGGAAATTGTGCACAAATTGCAGAGAAGCACTTAAAACAGTATTAAACCCCAAACCACAAATGTATTATGCTGAAGCTTACCAATCATTAGATGTGGTGGTTGCATTAGTTTTCTTTTCTTTGGATGTTTTCCCTCTGTTTTCACCTGGTGATCTTGCCAGTAACGCACTTCCAGTATTAGTGAGACACCACTCTGGAGGAATGAGCCAGAACACAGCAGAGAGCATTGTCAGGCTGGGGGGGGGGTGGGGTGGGAGTGTTAAACGTATCAGCAGATTTGAATACAAATAACAAATTGAATCTTAACTCCAGATAACACTTTATAATCAGTTTTGCATGAATAATTAAAATTGATTATTTTAATCACCCCTGCCAATGTTATATGGGTGGTCTCATCCATGTAAGCTGATACATTCTTCTGGAGATCTTGAGATTATGAAAAACAGCAGAGTTGCTGGTTGAATCACCAAATGAAAATCGAAAAAAAAAAAAAAAAAAGAAAACTAATACACCCATCACATCTAAGAATTGGTAAACTGCAATATAATAAATTATTGCATTTGGGATTAATACTGTATTAAATCTCTTTATGACAGCTATATGCATATATGCGGTGGCAGTGCATGTGTCCTTAATGCGCAGCCACCGCATGCATGCATTGCTCTCCTGTTCACCGGCATGGTGAACTAATACCGATAGAGAGCCAGTAGGATGGGCTCCGAATGACATCAGCACTGTGCAGCCAATTACAGATGGGGAGCAATTCCTACTGGCCATGACCCTTTTAAAGCAGTGGCTCACTCCAGTATAAAGGGGATAAGGATACCTTCCTGCTAAACTAACATTTTCCAGCTGAACAGACTCATGGGGCAAAATCATTTTTATTTTGGTCTTAAGAAAATGCTCCAGGTTGGTCCACCCTTGCCCACATTACTACAAGGGTCACATCCAGCTTGTCACTGGTGTAGATGAGTTAAATTAGGTGATGACCACATTTCCAGTGAACTTTAAAAGTATTCCTTTATCACTACAAAACCAAAAAAAGTAGGACTGAGATCTTTGATGAGTTTCATGCTAAAAATGCTTAAAGTGCTACTAAACCCAGGACCCTGCATTCACTATATCTGGACTCCCATAGTACACACAACATGGAAATGCAATTATTTAATAAATATAAGCTGCTAATTACCTTTTCTCATCAGCAGTCAGAGCAGTCTTGTGACTTCTATCAGTGTCCAGCAGAGCACTGGTTAAAGCTTGTAGGAGGATTTTTCTCTAGGAGGATGCAGAACCCCTGACCTCTGTCTGGACAGTACTGATTGACCCTGTGCTGATCACATGCACTCTCCAAAGAAAAAATAAAACAAACTGAGCATGTGCAGAGTGACTCCACTTGATATGTCTTATCAGGAGACAAGAGGGGGACACTGGAAGAAGGGGAGGAGCAGAGACGTTAGGATCAAACAGCGTTTTTACAGAATGCAGGGCCCTGCATTCACTATACCTGGTCTCCCACAGTACACAGAACATGGAAATGCAATTATTTTAGTAAATTTAAACTGCTAAATACCTTTTCTCATCAGGAGTCAGAGCAGTCTTGTGACTTCAGCAGAGCACTGGTTAAAGCTTGTAGGAGGAGTTTTATTTCTGCTCTAGGAGGAAGCAAAACTGACCCTCTGTCTGGACAGTGCTGATTGGCCCTGTGCTAATCACATGCACTCTCCCAAAAAGAAAAAAAACCTGTCTAGCAATACACACTAAACTGAGCATGTGCAGAATGGCTACGGGGTCAGTCTGTCTCATTAGGAGATAAGATATGCGCATTTGAACAAGACGAGGGGCAGAGAGAAAACGATCAAACAGCCTTTTTACAAAATCCAGAGGATTAACCTCTTAGGTTCCACAGTGAGTATAACAAGCATGCTTTACTGCATATACAGACTGATTTTACTGTTGTGGGTTTAGTAACACTTTAATCATACAGTATTTGTGTTAAAAAAGGAGTTTTTTTCTGGAATTGCAGGCATCCCTTAATGTAAAGTGTTACTAAACCCACAACAGTAAAATCAGTCTGTATATGCAGTAAAGCATGCTTGTTATACTCACTGTGAAACCTAAGGGTTTAATGCTCTGCATTGTGTAAAAAGGCTGTTTGATCATGTCTTCTCTGATCTTCCCCTTCTTCTACTATCCCCAATCTACCTGCTGATAGTACAGAGCTCTAGGAGTCACTCTGCACATGCTCGGTGTGGTGTGTATTGCTAGTGAGTTTTTTTTTTCTTGGGAGAGTGCATGTGATCAGCACAGGGCCAATAAACACTGTCCAGAGAGAGGGTTAGGGGTTATGCAGCCTAATAGGACAGTCAGAGCAAAATGAAAACTCCTCCTACAAGCTCTACCTAGTGCACAGCAGTACACTGATTGAAGTCACAAGCCTGCTATATAGTTCTGATGAGAAAAGGTATTTAGCAGTTTATATTTACTAAAATAATTGCATTTCCATGTTGTATGTACTATGGGAGACCAGATATAGTGAATGCAGGGTCCGGGGTTTAGTAACACTTTAACCCTATTTTTTATTTTGGTCATTTTTGCCAAAATATCCTGCTATCTAAATCCTGGCAGTACCATCACTTTCAGAAAGCCCCTTAGACTGTTGATAAGCTGGTGCGTTCGTTAGTTCGGGCATCTCAGTGCATCTTGGTAAGTGCCAGCCTGATGAGCAGATGAATGCTCTAAAACAAACAGGGTCGTTTATGCAGCTCATGTTGATGATCAAGCCAAGTTTTCTGTTGCCTGTGTAGCAATTTCGCTACAGGCTAGATACAACTGTGTTACCTGGGAGCAGCTGTCATGTAAAAAAAGAGATAAATGAGATGAAGACTCCAGAGACCAAGTCTAAACTGATGCATGATGACAGCCCAAATAATGGAACAGCGTTTGTAAGAGGGCTTTCTGGTTAGTCACTTGCAATCGATGTCTTGTTAACCAGATGCTGTACATAAATACTTTAGCTTCAGTGAGGAACAGGAAAATTACAGTACATCTAAAAGACCGATTCTGTGTACTCTACAATAAAAACACATTAAAGAAATGCCAGGCCGAACAGTTTACAGAAAAATATGGGCTACGCTGACCTAATATATCTTTCTTCTTTGTTACATGTACTTATATAGCACTGTCAATTACACAGCACTTTATATATATTTCATATTTACGTCAGTCCCTGCCCCCAAGGAGCTTACAATCTAAATTTCCTAACTCACATTCATGCATACACCTACAAGGGCCAATTTAGACTGAAGCCGGTTAATATAGGCTTTTTATCATAGAAAAACGATTAATTTGTTTTAAATAGACAAATTATTTTTTATCAGAAAAAAACAAAACGAAGAAAAAAAAAAGGGCGCACTCTCTCCTCGTGCATTAACGCAGAAACCAAAAATGTATTAAAAAGATGCAAGGACATACTCACAAGCCATAAAGATCATAAAAACAGCGACAAGAAGTCAAAGGTGCCAATCGTGGACAGCATGGGGTTTATTTACTAAAGCTGGAGAGTCCAAAATCAGACTCCCTTCTGCATAGAAACCAATCAGCTTCTAACCTCAGCTTGTTCAATGAAGCTTTGGCAATGAAACCTGGAAGCTGATTGGTTTCTATGCAGAAGTGAGTCTGATTTTGCACTCTCCAGCTTTAGTAAATAAACCCCCATGCGTCCTCGGATAATGTGCTAACGTGTTTCAGGAGTTGGACTCTCTTCCTCAGAGCAATAGATGAATTGCACTGAGGAAGGAAGTTCGACTCCCGAAACGCGCTGTCCACGATTGGCACCTTTGACTTTGTCTCTGTTTTTATGACCTTTATGGCTTGTGAGTATGTTTTTGCATCTTTTTAACAAATGTTTGTTTTTTGAGTTAATGCACGAGGAGAGTGTGCCCTGTTTTGTTTTTTTTCTGCTAGTATCAAGATTCCCCAATCTATCAAGGGCAACACCTCAGACAGTGGACTTTTGCATTTTGCGTGCAGCAAGAGAGATTTAAGCGCCGGTTTCTGGTTACTGTTGACATTATTTTTTATATTTTAACTTCTTTTAGTAAACATATCATTAAAGGAAACCTGTGCTAAGATAAATACAGAGGCTGCCATTGCACTGCTCAACCACTTGAGCACCGTATGGTTTTCATAACCATTTTTTGCTATTCAGCACTGTGCTACATTAACTGACAATTGCAGGGTCATGCAACACTGTGCACAAATTAACCACTTGCCCTCCAGAGGATTTACCCCCCCCCCCTTCCTGACCAGGCCATGTTTGCAATATGGCACTGCGCTACTTTAACTGACAATTCCGCGGTCATGCTATGCTGTACATAAACTTATGTGCTTTTTTTCCCCACAAATGGAGCTTTCTTCCAGTGGTATTTGATCACCTCTGCATTTTTTATTTTTTGCGCTATAAACAAAAAAAAATTACGATTTTGAAAAAAATAAAATATTTTTGACTTTTTGCTATAAAACAAATCCAATAAAAAAATGTAAACTTTCCTCATAGATTGAAGCCAAAATGTATTCTGCTACATGTATTTGCTAAAAAAAAATCCCAATATGTGTAAATTAATTGGTTTACGTAAAAGTTATACCGTATACTAATGGCGGTATATATATATACTGGAATTTTTTTTTTTTTATACTAGTAATGGCGGCGATCAGCGACTTATAGCGGGACTGCGGCGGGCATTCTGACACTGGGTGGGAACTGACTAGCTGTCACTGACACTGACCTCCTAGATTGTAAGCTCAAAAGAGCAGGGCCCTTGACCCCCTCGTGTTTTGTTTTGTTACTGTATTGTCTCATGTACTGTCCCCCACTATAATGTACAGCGCTGAGCAAACCTTTTAGCACTATATAAATACTGTATAATAATAATAGTGACACTAATATAGTGATTAGTGGTAATAAAAAGCACTGACACTGTACTAATGACACTGGGCAGGAAGGGGTTAACTTTTGGGCACTCAAAGGGTTAACTGTGTGTGTTTTACTATGTGTGCTGTGTGCTCTTTTACTATGCAGGCATGCTGTTTTGTAGCAGAGAGATACAAAACAGCATGATCATGCTGACAGGGGAGAGACCTGAGTTCCGCCCCCTACCCAGAAATGCAATTCAAGTATATATATAGGTGATTTTGTGCAGCCCTGCCATCCTGTAGCAGTATTTCTACTGTAGGGCGGTGGGCGATTAAATTTATATCAGTTTTTTTTCAGACAATTAAAGTTTTCTTTTGGTGGTATGGTTTTTTTTATTGTTTGCTATATATGGAAAAAGACTAACATTTTGAAACAAATAACAATATTTTCTACTTACTGTTATAAAACATATCCAATATAAAAACAAAACATCTAATTTCTTCATAAACATAGGCCAAAAATGTATTCTGTTACATGTCTTTGGTAAAAAAAAAAATCCCAGTAAGTGTATATTAATTGGTTTGTGCAAAAGTTATAGCGTCTACAAACTATGGTATATATACTGGAATTTATGCAGCTTTGACACTATACTGGTAATGGCAGTGATCAGTGAATTATAGTGGGACTGTGATAGTGTGGCGGGCAATCTGGTGCTAGCTGACCCTGGCTAGGAGGTACACTAACTGACTGACACTGACTTCAATAGTGACACTAATACAGTGATCAGTGCTAATACTGTACAATTTCACTGTACTAATGACACTGACTGGGAAGGGGTTAACATCTAGGTGCAATCAAGGGGTAAACTTTGTGCTTAACAAGTGTAATGTGTATAATATGTACTTTTACTTCACTGTGTGGCTGTTTATTCTCCCTTCTTTACAGGGAGAATAAAAAAGCCAGATTGCTGTTCTCTATACACAGAGTTCTGTGTTTTGTAAATACAGAACTCTGTGTGTGATTGGACACAGCCAGTCAGCTAACTTCAGCCAAAATCATTGTCCGAAATCAGCTGCCAAACTCATGCTGTGTCCAAACCCAGATGAAAGGTTGCAACACACCAGTATATTGGCAGGCCTGGAGCTGCAGCCTGATCGCAGTGCAACTACTGTGGGCTGGCAGCAAGTGGTTAAAAATGCTAGCTGCCTGGTGGTCTTTGCCACTGCCTTCTGCTTTTCTATCCTGGATCAAGCAAGTGGAGACAAAACACCCGATTTCATACTTGTTCTAGATAATAAAGCCTTTGAATCAGCATTGCAGTCAGACAACTAGCATTTTTAAATGGAAGACAACAACATCAGCCTGTATATTTCATTCACTGTAAGCTTCCCTGAATATTTAAAGCCCAAATGAAGCTTTTAGAAATAGATTGACTCCTGACTTTAAAATCTTTGCTATGAAGTTTGAGGATGAATTACTCCACAATGCTTGTCACTAGTAAGGTCAATGAGGTCTTCCTTTACAGCTCATTTACTGAAATATGCAAAATCTTTATTGCCCATACATTTCAGGTACACTCTTAATGTAAATGTATTGTTTTACTTATAGTTGAACTGCTCCCCAGCGCCAGTCTAAAATCCAAAGTGCAGGCAGCATGCTGCATAAAAGGTCCTCTCTGCAGCTGTCCAACATGAGCTGCAGTAAGGCAGTCATTCCTGTGAACATTTAGCGCATGGAACTCCTGAGCCTGGATAACTGGCACATAACCTGTCCTGCAATTGCACAAGAGACAAATCTTTTTATGGGAACGGTGAACACATTCATTGACGAAGTGAAGCAGGCTGTCCTAGGATGGTTTAGGCGTACTGACAAATCATTCTATGCCTAAGCTTTCCAGGCATTAGTTAAACATTGGGATAAGTGTATAAATGTAGCAGGGGAGTATATAGAAGAATAAAATGCAGTTTCCACTCCTTGAAATTTGTTCTTTTATTATATAAACTCAAAAGCCCCGGTTTGACTTGAACTCCCCTCCTATTTAAAAGTTAATTTCTTCAAAATGAATTTAATCTCTTCCAGAAAAGACTCCACCCACTTTATAAAGTGTATATTTTTAATTTTCACATATATGTTTGTGGACAGTAATTTTGTTAATTTATATGTTTAATATTAATACTATTAGTTCCATTTATAATACAACTGGCATCCTATTATAGTTTACTATGCTTAAAGTGGACATTTGAGTATTTTTACAAGCTCACATGAATGAATTCCTAATATGTACACTGAGTACATAGCAAGAGTATAATAAAAAAAAGCCCTGTCTTTAACCTCCTCGGCGGTATAATTCTTTCCAATTTTTTGTGCTGAAAGCGGTACCATTATTTTGCATGGAAATATGTAGTTTTTTTTATTGTAGGCTGTAATTTTTAGGAATAACTCACTGAAATCT